ATGTATATTATCATATACATAATAGCCATATGTATTTCTTTTTGTATTGCCTCCCTGCACATGAGCATAATGTGTGGAAGGACCCTGTTCTGCCCAGGTGTCCACGTTACAATGCTGGAAGGACTTCTTCAGCTGTAATCTCTACTTCATCATTGAAATGATTTGCTGAAACAGTATGAATGAGTACATGTACACGCACACATGTGTGTATGGGTATATATACGTATACATACATATATGTACATATACAAGAACCAGTCATGTGTGAGTACAAATATGTGTATATAAATACACACACACACATATCTCCAGCAGTATTTTAATATGAGTGTTTAACAAATTCTTTTTAAATCACAAGATTATGTAAAATATTGTCAAATAATCAATGGTCATCAATGGAGAACAGCAGCAGGTCTCCTTCACACTTGCCGATAATAATCACCATCATTTATTCTACACTTGCTGAGCACTTTACAAACAGTGCCTCATTCAACACAGCTTCATGAAGTAGGCATTTGTTTCTGTGTTTTACATGACCAAGTGAGCCTTAGACATCGTAGGCACATTGGCCGAGGTCACATAGCTATTGAGTGAGAAAATTGGAGCCGAAGCTCACTTCAAAGCTGGTTTTAAAGTCCACCTTCTGAACCATTATGCTCTGGGGCTTTTCCGCACTCAGTGGTTTGTAGCCCTGCTGCACATTAAGATCACTGGAGAACTTTTAAAAAGTACTGATGCCAAATCATATAATGCAGACAAATTGCATCAGAATCCCTGGGGGTAGTGCCCGGTCATTTGTACGTTATAAAGCCTTCCTAAGTAATTGTAATATGAAGCCAGGGTTGAGAGCCACTGCTAGTAATTATTAACCAGTGTGGCTAAGGGAATAGTCTTAATTTGTCAAGTTTGAATTCTCAATGTTCCATGCTATTCATATCCCATCTGTGTGTTGGAACAAATCCCTTTCTCTCAACTCAATTCAGTGTTCTTATTACTTCTTTCCTTCTCTCTTTCTCACCCACCTCACCTATCTCCCTCTCTCTCTCTCTCTCTCTCTCACACACACACACACACACAACAAACACACACACACAGGCACAGACATGCTCTAGCTCAGAATCTCTGTTCATACAAGTGGTAGTAGGGATGCCAGACTGAATCTGGGGTGTATTCTCTGGATACCAAGGTCAAACAGAGGTAGAACATCACTCATTAAAAGACTGCAATGAATAAGCCAAGAAAAATGATTTGAAAGGCAAATCTTAGGAGAGGCTAAATCAAAAGTTTGGCAGAGAGTTTTCCATCCAAAGAAGCAAGTCAGGAAGAGATAATCTGGGGATGAAACATCTGGGGAAAGAGATCAGATGGTTTGAAAGAGAGATTTTTATAGAGCATATTGGATATGAGAAGAAAGGCAGCCATCAATGCAGAGGTCACAAAGTCTTGGCTCACAGATATGCTTTGTTTGCCTTTCACTAGTATTTAAAAAAAAAAAACCTGAGTCAAAGTTAAAACTAAGAGATTGCCCATACACCTTGAGATTCCAGCTTAAAAACACTCTGAAGACTTGGCAACCCGAGGCCATTGTTCTCACATGGCAGCAATCAGTGGCCCTGAGAAGTGGCTGTCCACCTACAGCGGAACAGGGAGTGTAGCTCCCCACAACCCCCACAGGGCTCATGACACTTATGTAGGCCATGTGACTGCCAGCACTCACGGGTTAGCATTTGTGGCTTCAGATTTAAAATTCCAAACCAGCCTGGACACGAAGGAGTCACTGAGCATCAATTTTCATTTGTTGATTTTTATGGTATAGCCTTCACTTCCTTCCAAATATCTCTGCAAGATGTTATGGCTGTTTCATGAGTTAAGGGGACTGGCTGCACAGCTCCATGACCCCCTCGCTCTCTGATTCGTCGAAGTGCTGTGTTCTCCCTTGGTGTGCTCTCTCCTGCTTGTGATCTCCCTGTGTAGCTGGCATTCTGTGTTCAGAGCCCCTTCCTGCCCAAGTCCGAGCAAGGGATGGATCCCCCATGTGCTGCATCGTGGAACTTCCCATGTAACTGCCCCCTAACTCCGGTAGCAAAAGCCAAGGACTGAAGCGTACTCACATCCCCAGGGCAACCCTAGCGTCTGTTTTGCCTTTTCATAACTACTTTCTCTAGTAAATTTTGATAGGTAAATTCCTACAGAAAGTCAAATGAACTTCAAACTATTCCTTTCAAGAATTAGCTTTTCTTTTCTTTTTTCTTTTTCTGACCTCTTTTCCTAAAGATCTGTTTGTTCCTGTATTTTTTTTTTTTTAGGACATAATAATCAAGTTCTTTAAATTTGGCTGTCCAGTTTAGGGAAAGGTCTGAATGTTCTGAACTCTGTACCTTTTCTGGCAGAGTCTTTCCTCCCTAAAGATATCAGTAATAGCAAAGGAAAGAAGATCAGATATTTTCACAAAAAAGCATTTCCTCTGGGGAAAGCAAGTCAGCCCTGGAGTCTCTGCTTGTTGCAAAAATAAGTAAGTGATCAAACAAACACACCAATACGCACATAAATCCCAGTGAAACTTGTTGCCATTTATAGGTTGAAAAGGCTAAATTCTTACAACCATGTACTTCAAGTTTATTATACTCATTCTGTTATGAATTCTAAGTGTTGAGAAAAAATATCCCAACTTAGATATAAAGTAAATGGATGACCCTGTGCCTTTGTTGTCATACTCAACAACTCTACGGAAGTTGTACCTTTGTTTTGCTTACTATTTAGTATTGGTTAGGGCTCAGATTCTGTGAACTCAAGATGTTAACCTCTAGACTTATAAAGCGGAAGTGATTTTTGCCCAGATATGCACACAATTTTTCTCCTTTAGAAAAGGTAGTGACAAACATTATGGTTTTATTGCCCTGTTGTAACCAGCTTTATATCTAACTTAACAACCTTATTACAGCATTATTTCCTTCAATACCTGTATTTGCTCAGGACCTCCAATTCTCTTTGAATGAGCTTTACAATTCTGCTAGTTCCTTCATTAATGACAAGCATGTTCATTTGATACTTATATGAGAATCATGTTTCTTACCTTTTAAAAAACTATATTTTAACACTAGCCTTATCCTTCCCCCCCAAAATTTTAGGTGGCTCCAACCTCCTGTTCACATATGGAGCTTCTTTCCTTCATTGCTGTGGGCCACATCAGGCAAAACTTTGAAAGTGCTTTTATAGTTAATGTAGAAAATGGACACTTTGTTGAGGTAAAGAGAACTGATTAGCTTCAGTTTAGGGGAAGAAAAAACAGATGATATCAGTTATTCACTGATAAAGCAAATGCCATTTAATGATGCCTCTGCTCATCACAAACATGACCTCCATTGCTGTCATGGTGATCACGGGTTCAGATCTGCTGGGGGAAGTGGGATATTTGCTTCATTTCTCTTTTGGCACAGGAGTCTTTCTGAGTTTCTCTTTATTCACTCTATTCCACTTGCACACACTGTAGGATCTAAGAGGAGGCTCAGAAGACCATCTGGCCTATGCCACTAGAGAGTATCAGCAAGGCTCTTTAATAAAGATGCTCCTGAAAGATTGCATATAAATTCAATTTAACAAAAAAGTTATTTCAAATAACCTGAGATGTTTGCCTTTTGTAGAGAGAATGAATTATTTAATAATTGTAAATAAATCACTGTATAGCTCTAGTTTAAAGTGGTGTTAGGTCTTGCTTAAATATCATTAAATATATTATTTAAGAAAAAATACATTGTCTTTTCCAAATATGGGGATAGATTTGGAAAGTAAAGTGGTAATGAATCACCTGTGAAATAACATAGTAAAAAGTGAAAATGCTTTGTAAGCCAGGTCATGTTATATCTTCACACAAATGTTATTTATTATCAATATAGTAATTGAGTGTAACCTGAATGTCCCTGATTCTACAAATAACTGAGGGGGTCACCAGTTTTTGGGTATCCAAATAGGATTACCTGGATCCATATCCCATATTTGGCTCTAATAAATCCAGTCCCCTCCTAAATATTTCTGAGAATTCCTAGTTTGTCATCTGTAAACCCCACTAATTGACTTCTAAACCACTTCTGGCTCTTGGGTTGGTTCTCTTCCTAACTAACAGCCTTCTAAAGATTTGTTCCCCTAAACAAAAGACTGCTCCCCCTTTTGGGAGCACCATTTGCCCTCCTCCAAGGAATGTGGAAATTGCTCTAGTCATTTTCTCTCCCATCTATACTAAGAAGATCATCGGAATGGAGAAAATACATTGCCAAGGATAGGAAGACTTCAAGGCAAGTTTTAGAATGTTGATGCTACTTCCTAGATCATTTGACTTTTCTATATTAATCACGTGTCTAATAACCTTGCTGAATTCAACTATTATTCTAAGTGTGTAGGTTGTTTTATTTTTTATTTTTTTAAATAATAAATTTATTTTTTATTGGTGTTCAATTTGTCAACATACAGAATAACACCCAGTGCTCATCCCGTCAAGTGCCCCCCTCAGTGCCCGTCACCCATTCACCCCCACCCTCCTCCCCTTCCACCACCCCTAGTTCATTTCCCAGAGTTAGGAGTCTCTCATGTTCTGTCTCCCTTTCTGATATTTCCTACCCATTTCTTCTCCCTTCCCTTATATTCCCTTTCACTATTATTTATATTCCCCAAATAAATGAGAACATATAATGTTTGTCCTTCTCCGATTGACTTACTTCACTCAGCATAATACCCTCCAGTTCCATCCACGTCGAAGCAAATGGTGGGTATTTGTCATTTCTAATGGCTGAGGAATATTCCATTGTATACATAAACCACATCTTCTTTATCCATCATCTTTTGATGGACACCGAGGCTCCTTCCACAGTTTGGCTATTGTGGACATTGCTGCTATAAACATCGGGGTTGTAGGTTGTTTTAAATATTTTATGTATTCAAACATTATTTTAAAATGAGAGTTTTACATTTTCCTATGGAGACTTTGCATCTTTAATTAATTTTTCCAGCCACATTACAGAGACTAACCACTGACACAAAGTTGACAGCAGTGACAACTGGATATCCCTGTATGGTTCAGTCTGAAAATCAGAGGTAAGTGTTCAATATTTTGACTTTATGTATATTGTTAGTGGGAGGTTTCCAGATCATCCCTTTATCAGATTAAGGAAATCTCCTTCTAGTTCTCATCCACTGAGGGTTTTTTATTATGAGTATGGAATTTTGTCAAATGCTTTTTATGAATCTACCAAGTTGATTATATGTTTATCCTGTATTCTGTTAATGTTGTGAATCACATAGGTTGATTTTGAATGCATCAATCTTGCATTCCTGGGATAAATCATACTTGCTGGATTCGATTTGTTTTGAATTTTTTGTCTTAGTCTGACAGAAAACCAGTCTGTAATTTTACTTTCTTGTAATACCTTTTACAGATTTTGGTCTGAGGGCCACAGCTCATAAAATGAGTTGGGAAGTGTTGCCTCGTTCTCTGTTCTCTATGGAGTTTGTATAAGAGAGGTATGACCTCTTCCTTAAATATGTGAAAGAATTTACCAGTGATGCCATCTGGGACTAGAGTTTTCTTTGTGGAAAGGTTTTAAACTATGGATTCAATTACTTTAACAGATACAGGACTACTTCAATTTGCTTTTGCATATGTGTGTGTTATTCTTCCAGTTGTACTTTTCAAGGAATCTATCCATTTCATCTAAGTAATCAAATGTCTTGGCATAAAATCATTCATAATATCTTTTTATTACCTTTTCAGTATATATTGAATCTTGATATTCATAGTTTGTCTTCTCTTTCTCTTTTTTCCCTCCTTTTTCTTTATAAGTGTTGCTAGCGGCCATCAGTTTTATTAAGTCTCTCCAAAGAACTTATTTTTGACTGTGGATTTTTTTCTCTTATTCATCAGCTATTTCATTGCCTCTTGCTCTTACCTTTATTTCCTCCCTTAATTTTATTTACTTTCCAGTAATCTAGCATCTTGTATGGATACTTGGATTATTGATTTTTCAACCCTTCTTTTCCAGTATAAGCCATGGCAGACATGAGAATGCCAATTGGATAATCCTTCAAGAAAAGAACCTGCCCAATTGCTATGAGTAAGGACATCTGCCAGCTGCCAGCTGTTATCTCCCTCAGGGTCTACTTTGGTTTTTAAAGCTAAGGTCAAACTCTTCTTGGAGAAACCTCCTTGGCCAATGTCTAAGCAAAACAGTGGTAACTGATTGCATGCTCTTCTTAGAGTAGCTCCCCGCTAGCAACTGAAACAAATAGAGGGACAAGGGCTCTCCCAAAGGGAAGTCTTTGCTCTGGTATGCCTTTTGGGACACAGAGACTTGGGGTCAAGTTGCCATTGTGGTCTGATGCAGGATAACTTCCTGACCTGCAGGGGAAGTTATGGAGATGTTAATAAAACATGGCATTCTTAGGGACAAAATAGCTGGGAACCAACAGAGGTGTATGTATTATGATCTCTTGTGATTTTGGGGTATTTTCTAATGACCTTAAAAAAACTTGATTTCTAGTTTTATTCCATATTTTGTGTGATTTTTATATTTTTTTATTATTTTTTTATTTTTATCTTTTGAAATTTATTGAGACTTGCTTTATGGCCTAGCATGCAGTCCATCTTGATCAATGTTCCAGGTGCTCCTGTAAAGAATCCATAGTTTATAGTTGTTGAATTTTGTTTACTACCCAAGTCAATTTGATCAACTTGGTTAATCATATTGTTTAAATTTGCTGTATTCTTGTTGATATTTTTATCTGTTTGGTCTATCAGGTACTGAGAGAGAGTATTAAAATCCCCAATTATTTTAACCAAATACCTGCCCACTGATGTCTGTAGCAGCTTTATTAAAAATTTCCAAAACTTTGAACCAATCAAGATGTCCCTCAGTAGGTGAATTAATAAATTGTGGTACATCTAGATAATGGAATATTATTCAATGCTAAAAAGAAATGAGCTATTGAGCCATAAAAAGACATGAAGGAAACTTAAATGTATGTTACTAAGTGAAAAAAGCCAATCTGAAAAGGCTATTTACTGTATGATCCCAATTATATGACATTCTGGGAAAGGCAAAATAATGAAGGCAGTAAAAAACAATGGAGCAGTGTTTTCTAGGAGTTAGAGGGGAGGGAGGGATGAATGGGCAGAGCACAGATGATTTTGTGGACAGCAAGACTATCCTGTAGGATATGGTAATGGTGGATACGTGCCATTATACATTTGTCCAAACCTGCAGAACCAAGAGTGAATCCTCAGCTAGGTTAATTATAGACTTTGGGTGATAATGATGCATTCATTAATTAAGGTTTATTGATTATAACAAATGTATCACTTGGGGTGAGAGGAATGTTGATAATGAATGTGTTATGAATGTGTGGGGCAAGAGGGTTATTGGAAATCTCTGTGCCTTCCCTTCAATTTTGCTGTAAATCTAAAACTACTCTAAGAACTAACATCTATTTTAAAAAGTCAAGGGAAGGAGAGTTGACTGGGAAGGGGTTTTAGAGGAGCTTCTGTGGTACAAATAGTGTTATTTTTTTTTTTAACTGCCTGTGTTCACTGTGTGTGAATCCAACTGTATGGTCATGAAAACAATTTCCAATTATGACTGGAAAAGAAAATCTGTCTCTCTTTTTAGCTCTGTCATTTACTTTTTATATTTTGATTTACTTTTATATTACTTTTACTTTTTATATTATGATTTCTATGTTGTCCTTCTGAATTTACCCTTTTATCTTTATGAAATGTCCCTCTTTATCTAGGAACAATTTTTGCCCTAAATACTACTTTTCTGATATCAACATAACATCTCCAGCTACCTTTTGGTTACTGTTTCCATGATATGTATATTTTACCTTTGTATTTGCATCTTTGTAAATAGCATGTAATTGTGTCTTGTTTGTATAATTCATTTGTAATTTAAGTACATCATGGTCATTAAATTTGGGCTGTATGATACCAATTCTTTAAAATGCATTGAGGTCCAACATGTGATAAATTTTCATAAATGCTTCCTGTATATTTGAATGTTATATGTTGTCCATTTGAACAATGGACATTATTTATTGTGCTGTTCCAATATTCTATATCTTTTCCGATTTTATTGTTTCTCAATTTACCAAGTACTAACAGAGGAGTAAAAGTTCCTACTATAAATGTGGACTTAACAGTTTCTCTTCGTAGATCTGTCAGTTTCTACTTCATATAGTTTGAGGCTGATTGTGTTATTAACTGCATACAAATTTAGAATTGTGGTTAATTGAGGCTTTTTATCATTTTTAAGTGACATTCTTTATTGCTAGTAATATCTTTTGCCTTAAAGTCTGTATTTTGTGATATTGATATAAATACTCAGATTTTTTTGTTAATGTTCATTTGATTTATTGTTTTCCATATTTGACTTTCGAGTATTTGTAGTTTAACATTATTTTTCTGTCTTTTCAATAATATAACAACCTTGAAATGTATTAACCCTAAACACTTCCATCCCATATCATATACTACAGTTTTCCAGTACTTTAACTTGTAGCCTATTTTCCAACTTTTTATAATTATTATTTGACAGAGTCAATGTCTGTTTGAATTTATCCACATGCTCACCAGAATCTTTGCTCACCATTCCTTCTTGGATCTCTGACCTTCTATCTGTGATCACCTTTATTCTACCTGAAGTACAGCCTTTAGAATTTAATTTACTGAGAATGTTCTGGTGGCAAACCTTTAATTTTTGTTCATCACAATAGTTTGCTCTCTACTTTGAAAGTTAGTGTTCTGGTTATAGAATTTTATACTGACAATTATTTTTTCTTTCAGCTTATTGAAGATATTTCATTATCTTCTTATTTCCATTGTTGCTATGAGAGGTTAGCAGTCAGTCTAGTTGTTATTTATTTGTGGACGATATCTTTGGCTTCCTGTTAAGATCTCTATCTATGCAGTATTCTGAAATTACACTATAATAAGTCAGATATTGACTTAGGGGCATATTTTTTTGGTTTCTATCTGAGCACTGATGTATTTCAATAATTCTGGAAAATTCTCAGCTTTTATCTGTAGAACATTTTCTATTCCTCTATTGTCTTATTCTTAAGCTCTGATAGACAGAAGAGAAGACCTTTAATTGTTTTTATGTTCATTAACCTCTATCCCAAGATACAGATTTTAGATACCTTGATAATACCTTGCTTTCTTGTCAAATCTTTGATGCCTTTATAAATATTTTTTTTGGAACCAAATCAGATAGTGCTATACTTTTTTGCTTCAAGTATCAAACATAATTTAGAAAACGCAAGAGGAAAAAAGCCTCTTGTATTTACCCATATTTTGGCTTATTATGTTCTTTATATGCATCCCAATATTCCAGGGTTCCTTCTTTTGTAATTTCCTTTCTGTTTACAGAACATCTTCTAGCCATTCTTTTAGGGTAAGAGTGTTGGTGACAAATTTGTTTTGTTTTCCTTCTGAGAATGTTTCAATTTTCCTTTTATTCCTAAAGGACATGTTATCTGGGTATAGGATTCTAAGTTCACAAGTTGTTACTTTTTCTTTAAGATCTTGAAAAATATTGTGCCAAATCTCCTGGACTTCCATATTTTCTTTATGCCCTCAACTTCTACAGCCATATCTCCAGCCCCAGCATCTCCATTGAGGTTCAGTCTCTTATTTGCTGCTGCCACTGGACATTCTCACTTGAATACTAGCATTTTAAACATACATTCTTATTATTGCACCTCATTTATATCCTCATAATTGTTTCTCTTTTCTTGGGAAAAAATGCTTTTGTGGAGACTATTTTTTCTAACCAATTCTGTGTTGTTGGCAAGGGATTATCCCAGTGTTTTTTTTTAATCCAGAATTTTTACTCTTTATTCATTGGGAGGATTTGTCCATAAAATGAACTCATTCTTTTAGGGCATTAGAATGTCCTTATTTTCCTTCCTTCTTTCTTTTTTAACAAATGTTATTTATTTATTCATGAGACACACACACACACACACACACAGAGAGAGAGAGAGAGAGAGAGAGAGGCAGAAACACAGGCAGAGGGAGAGGCAGGCTCTTTGCGGGGAGCCGAATGTGGGACTTGATCCTGGGACCTGGGATCACGGCCTGAGCTGAAGGCAGACACTCAACCGCTGAGCCACCCAGGCGTCTCTGTGCCTTATTTTCTTGTGTTTTGTTATCTTTTACTGTGAACTGTTCATTTTTCCTGGAAATTTATCTATGGAGATTCTTTGAGGCCTGAGCTGAAGTTGAAGACTTGTATTTTTCCTGCCAATCACCTTGGAGCAATATGAGCCAATCAATGATCACCTCAAGTTGATTTTTCCCTTTGGGATTTTTCAGACTACATAGTTAATAGGAACCTGAATCCACATAAGTTCAATTTATGGTTATGAATTCCCAGGGGATTACTTTATTTTTGTTCCTTCTAACCTTAGGACTGGCAGTTTCCCTGCTGTGCCCTTCTGCATAGTGGGGCTTCACTGTGAGTTTGAAATATTTATGAGAATCTCAATCTCAGTCCTTATCTGGGGTGTGCTCCAGACTTTTCCTTCTGTTCCCTGTACTGGTGCAATCATTAAACTGCAAGCTCAAGGATTCCAGGTTTTGCCAAAATTTTCCAGGAAGGATGATGGCTTTGGCATTTCAAGTTCCTCATTTCACTTCACTTTGGAGATTGGCATGTACTTTACACAAACTTAATGTTCAAAAAAGATTTTAAAAGATTTCTTATCCAATATATGAGTTATTTTATTTGGGTGAGTTATTCAGGGTATCCAATATGCCATCCTGCTGGAAAAAGAGATTTCTCACAATATATGATTTTTCTGTTATAAACTCTTATCTTTTTAGCACATATCTCTTAGCTGAATATGTCACAGCCATAAATATTTAATGATTAAACATTTTTTTATCATCTGAATAGTTTAAAATTTCTACTTTCAATTTACTGTCAGCTTTCCTTCTTCCTCTTAACCCTATAATATGAAACAGGCAACTGAAAAATGATCCTTTGAAAAGCTGTGTAGTCAGCCTGATATGATTAGATGTCATGATAGTGATGGGCTTAATTTTTTTTTTCTGCATAATCATCTTGAGTTCTTTGCCTCTGGGTCGAGAACTTGGAAGTCAGAGGTGATTTATTTTCTTATTTACACATAAAGTGAAGGAGAAAAACATTCTACTCTTAGCTGAAAATGTTCATGGGAGATATAGTCACTCAAAAATCAAATAGGGGATGTGGGGATTACAAATGAGTCTGCAATGGCTTCAGAAAGGTTACTGTAGCCAATTTAACAGAATCCAAGGAAATATGTTCAAGTGGAAGAAGGTTGCCTTTCTCCAGATCTACTGAGCATTACTCTGGGATCAGGCTGGGGAGATGGTTCAGGGAAATATACATACACTCATGTACACACATGCACACACACAGTTGCATACTTACCTAGACATACAAACTACAAACATACACATGTACTTACTAGTTGTATAGTAGGGGAATTCTGACAAGTGAATCATTGGATTTTGTTTTTTATTTTATCCTTTTGTCCTAGTTCTCAAAGTAATATGTGTTTATTAGAAAAGCATTGGAAAGTCCAGGAAAATAACCCCTAATGCTATTTCTTAGTAAAAGCAACAGCAACATTTTGTTGCATTTCTCTCTCTCTCTCTCTCTCTCTCTTCTTTTGCATTTATTAAATATAGATCAGCTTGTACATGCAATTACATTTCATTCTGCTTTTCTCTTCCACTGGACAATTTTATATTAGATACATACCCAGGTTTCTTTCTATTTTTTTTAAGATTTTATTTATTTATTTATGAGAGACACAGAGAGAGGCAGAGACACAGGCAGAGGGAGAAACAGGCTCCATGCAGGGAGCCGGACGTGGGACTCGATCCTGGGTCTCCAGGATCACGCCCTGGGCTGAAGGCAGCGCTAAACCGCTGAGCCACCCAGGGATCCCCATGCCCATGTTTCTAAATAGTATTTTCATCATAATAAGATATTCTTTCATGTGGGTTCACAATTTCCTCTCATTAGACATTGAAATTGTTATAATTTCTTCAGTAATAAAATGAGTCACTGTTGTTATATCTCCCTGTGTCCTCTGTCTTGGTCATAGAAAAATAATTAAAGGTTGCTCTCAGTTCAAGTGTCACTGAAATCCCTGAGACGTTCAAGTTCAGCTGTCAATTTGTTACCCCGAAATTCTCCATAGATGTTTCCCACTTTCATCTCTTACCCTTAATCTGGCCACTGCAAGCTTTTCAGAGTATTTCTTTCAACCACATGTGGTATGTGTTCCCCTTGGGGGGAGATTTGTAAATTAAAAAAAAATTCTCTGTTTCATTATATTTCAAGTGTTCCTTTAGCCTCCTGGTGTATAACGCAATGCATTAGTGGTTGAGCACCAACTGATGACTTGTGAAAGTCCTGAAATATTCTAGATCCACCCTATAGATTAGCATTTGAAATATGGTTAGTTAAAACTGAAATATTCTGTAAGTATAAAATACACAGTGAATTTCAAAGGCTTAGTATGATGAAAAGAACACAAATCATTTTATTGATGATACTATTTATGTTGATTGCACGTTAAAATGGTAATATTTCAGATATGTTGAATTTAATGAAATATTTTATTAAAATTAGTTTAATTATTGTTATGTGTTTTTAATGTAGCTACTAGAAAATTTAAAATTACATATGTGGCTTGTATTTGTGGCTGGTATTGTATTTCTGTTTGAAAGGCCAATTTAGAGGCAAGAGTTAGAGCCTGGGGAACCATACTAACATTCCCTCTCTAGACAGCACCTCATCCCCCTCCTCTGCTCAAGCCTCCAGAATCCTCAGTAAGGGGAAAAAAAAATGTCAGCACAGCTCTCCCTGACTCATTGTCTCCCAGAGCATGTAGAAGCAGAGTTAGGTAGTGGATGAGAGAACTAACTTGGTTGGTTGGTTATGTTATTTTATTAATTGTAAGATCCATTCTGCATTAAATTGTTTGAGTGACAGTCTCCCAGGTGGAACAAACATAGCAGTAAAGCATTCACCAAACGCTCTGTGTCTTTGGGCTTTGGCTGCAGCTTTGAGTCATTTTCTTCTTCTCCACCTGACTTCAATCACTCCTTTTGCAAAAGCTCCAAAGCTCCCTTGTGCCTACTTTAGGGATTCAGAGCTGGGACTCCACATACTTTTTTGCCATTGCAGCTGCCAGGCAGATAAAAAATGGTGCATAGCAGAGCTCC